CTAGAGGATATCCTGCGACACACTTAGGCTCAAGCTGTAAGAGAAAATTCCAATTAGTAAAGAAATTAATTTGAAAAATTACCTTGACGTTTCGATAGATAGAATATAGATATAATTTGTACAGACGAATTATCAGAGCGAATTTTCATATACTGTATTATCCTACTATTGTTACACAATTTATTAACATACTCTTTTTTAGGTTCATTTAGGTTCTTTTGATAACGATAGCAGAAAATAGCTATCGAAACGTCAAAGTAATTTTTCAGATTAATTTCTTTACTAATTGGAATTTTTTCTTACAGCTTGAGCCTAAGTGTGCCGCAGGATACCCTCTAGGTGATAGTTCTTGATTACTTTTTGATAAATAATTCGTTCTTATTGCGAAATAGGAGCACTATTTATCAACCTGTAGTAAAAGACGTCAGGAAATTCTGTCTTTTTAAAGACAAACATTTTTGAGGCGAAATACCCAACAAGAAGTTTGTAAAAAAATCAAAGTAGGTATTGGCTTTTCAACGAAAGATTCTTTACACAATACATACAGAGTAAATAATTCTAAAAATGTACATTCCTCTATTGGTATGTTAATATCTCAATTTTGATTGCGTTGCGATTCTCTGCGATACCAAAGATTATTATTTATATTAAACAGCAATGCTTTGTCCTTTACATATGATTTTGCTTTATACCAGTTTCTCTGTTTTCGTACTAATTGTAATATATGTTTGTTAATCCGGTGGTTTTATAAATCACTATTAAATGGTTATCGTCTTATATTTCAATTTGCTCTTATGTCAGTTTATCTTCTCTTCTATTTAATATTAATGATAAATTTTTACTATATTTAAGACTGAAGCCACTCTGTTTTCCGTTTTTAGCACCTTCAAGATGCCTTAAATATACACGAAACGTTGGCTAGTGTTTGTCGTTGATAAACCAAAGATCTAAATTGGCATCTTCTATTCTTCTACCAATAGAAATAGACACTATGGCTTAATTATTCTATTTTAACAAAAATCTCAACATCATCAAACATCCACGTTACTGTAAAAACTCCAAACTAAACTCAATCAGATCAGGGCTTTTTCATAATTTTTCTTAAATATCTGTAATTGTTATTGCAACATTACCCACACATCAAAACTGGCCCAACTTAGCACCGTTTTTTCCGACACAACTTCCAGTAGTCAAATAGCGACAATCTACAGCTTACCTTGTAGGTTCATTGAGGAAGGGAACATTCCAGCAGCTCTATGCACATCCTGCACATGAGGCCTGGTTCCCATAACCGCGCACTGTGAACCAGCAGGAGAATGGTGCACCCCCATTGGAGCACCAGCCGACGGATTGTAACTTCGAGCCATTGAAGCTGCAGCTGCCGTGTATCGGTAAGCGGCTTGCGACATTTGGCTACAAGAGGTAAGATCCCCATAGGAGCAAGGCATGTTGGTAAGTCCCGTCGGGTCCATGGAGCTTTGCAGGCAGCTCGAATCGAACGAGGCCTGATTTAGATAGGAGTAATCCATTTTGGGCTGATGGATGTTCAGATCAGCAGCAGCAGATGAAGTTAATTGCAAAGTGAAAATGGGGAAAAGAGCTTAAAAGCTTGAGGAAATAAAGCATTTATTAGTGGTTAAAGTTGGGGTAAGTGAAGAAAGTAATTGAGGAACGAAAATGAGACAATCCCTATCTTGGTCACTGGATGAAAGGTAAACAGAGCGTTTGGGTCGCCAAACTCAATCAACTTAAATACCAACGGTTATGATTTAGCAACAACCTAGTTAGAGCCACTTGTAAACTTGTTACTTCCGACCCGTTGAGGAATAATCGAATAAAGACTCTGGCTATCAAATTATGGCTATTAGGGCTTTCGCGCGCGATTTTTTCAAGATAGCGTACGTAGCTAGCGCGTTAGACCTTACTGTCTGCCCGAAATCAAATGATAAGCTTAATTCAATAACCTACCTCGTATACACCCTTCTATAAAGGGGGATGAAGCGTCGCAGCATCCCTCAAGGGGCGGACCGTATCCAGCGACGATTTCCAAACGCCCAATCGGATTCGCTCGCTTCCAGCGCGCTGCTTTCTGATTGGGTGGCCGATGTGACGTCACGGCACGCGATCCAGGGTGGCAAAGTTGGGGTTGCACGCATCTCACACATGGATGCAGGAAGAAGGAATATTAAAAGGTGTCTCGCATCGTCAGGACCAAATTAAATTTGTATTCGCAAGGCTTATCTGTTTTTCTTGGTTTGCATCAACAGTCGGCGTGATTTCTAGACACCTGTTTTATGATGTAGATATTTCGAAATATCTTTGACGTGTTTTGGATTTTGCCAGGAGGGTATTTCCACTTTTCTGAGTGCATTGGACGTGGTCTGGCCGGGTTTATCGGAGGGGCGATTGATTTTCATTAAAAATTGATAACGAACAGATTTTTTTTAAATAGATGTATCTCGAGTAAACCTTCGGAGTTTTATAGCTAACTTGTCACAATATATTTTTGCAAAAATTATAGTGTCTGATTAAATACAAGCATTTGGAATTTCCATACGAAAGCAACCAATGTCTACAATATGTGGACTTTTAGCAGATCAGTAAACAATTTGATACTTGTGAGTAGCATCCGGAACAAAATATCAGGGAAACCGTAGCCGAGAATGTTTTTGTGTCATATTTACTGAGTTTAAAGTAAAGGACAAGCAAACATCTCTGAACTAAAACGATATTTAAATTTAAAATTGGAAAATTCATAGAAATTAGCAGACAAATAATTTTTGGAATAAGGAAAAAATTACTGCTTTCGGCAGGATGTTAGTCCCTTTAGTTTGATTTAAACAATTAATCTTTCTTGGATGTTTTAGCATTATTTCTTTGTCATTTCATACCGCATTTTCTGCTGATGTTAATTTAAAAGCAGCTGGAGTTTTGGAAAAGCATGTATTCCAATTTCTTCGACGTTATTTTCTTAATGAGTGATTTTTGTAGCATTTTGTTGCAATTGCAGCAGAAGAAACTCTATTGTGCAATTATCGTCTGAATAATGAAAAAACGTATCTGTGAAGCGACAAGATTAAGTTTTTTTTAACACAATTGTACTTTGGAAAAAATATTTGCGCTACTGTGGAATTTGTTGCAAAGTCTAAAAGCTCCTTTTTGCTAGTTAAGCAATATATTTGCTTAGGTTTATTGGATGTAAAAGCTATTTGAACAAGCAACGCAACTTTTTTATTGTATTTTCGCCTTGCAGGAAAGTTTTCCGGCATTTTCAATTCTTAAAATGACTTTGGATGCGCATACGGATCTTCGCAATTATTTTTGTAACCGGGCTTTTCCTCTGTCTTTATCAAGTTTCACTCTTCTTTTATATTGTTGGTTGATTTTATCCTTTCCATCTTTTTGTTGTTCTTTTCGGTTCTTTGTGGTTATAAACGTTAGTGCAGCGTTCAGAGTCAAAACTAAATTTATTTTTCTATGAAAAAAAAAGAAATAATAAAAACTTTAAAAATAAATCTCGAAAATTGTCCTTAAAAAAACAACAGTTTTTATACTAAGCTACAGCTAAATATACAAAACAACAAAATCCAGGGCTGTAAAAATAAATCTGGTAGAAACGTGTCAATGTAGAAAATAATGTTTTAATTAAGAATCAAATTATCGAAAACGTCAGTACGTTTAGATATTTAGTTTGTTTAATAGACGAGAATCTTGATTTTTTGGAGCACTGTAATTACATAACAAACAAACAAACAAAATTGCAAAAATATCAATCGTTTAAGTCGCCTATCTGTGTACAAGAATGTAATTGCTTCTTTGTTTTTGTGCTTCTGTGTTTTTGTGCTTCTCTTTGATTTAATGTATGATTGTGATATTGTTTTGCTGCCAAAAAAAATAAATAAGGCGTTAAGAAATATTCTTGGTTGCATTATTAAGTTGTTAAGAATTATTCTTATTAAACCGTGCAAATGTGTAATACGCGTTTATAAAATGTTAAACCACTTAATCTGGTACACTCATTTAATAGGTAATTGTAAGTTTCTCAGCGATAATCACCAGCATAACACAAAATCAAAAACTTTTTTTTACATGAAAAAACTAATTCAATTGTTGCGGACAACCACAAAATACTACAAAGTATTTTGTTTTGTTTTTTTTTTACTCACTTTGTCCAGAAAAAGCGAATTTTTCTGTAGCAATAAATCATATTTTGACTTGATTTGATGAGATCAATACCGTTTGAATTATAAATGCTTGAAACAATACAATCTGTTGCCTGAAGATATCAAGAACTGTAGTAATTTAAATAGTTTTAAAAGAGATAGTAAACAATATCTTAAAATTTTAATCATAATATACATTTATACATACACACATTCATTAAGTCTTCGGATCAAAAGATCCCATTACATCGTCAGACCTGAGAAAAGGAAAAACACTCAGACGACAATAAAATTAATAAAAATAGAAGTGGAAACCACATTTAAATTTTAAAATATTTAAAAATGAAACTGCACTAAAATCAAAAGTCTACCTTCGTGGAAAAATGCAAGTAAAATAAACCTATAAAATTTGTTGCAACAACAAATAAATTTATGTCGATAATGAGATTAAAAAAAAGATCCTTCCTCAAGAGCCATTTAAAGCCTGATGTCTGATGTAAAATTGAACTAATCAGAATCATTTAATTTTTTGAGCTTTAATAATGTTAAGTATGCTAATATTAGTATGAGCATCAATTGACCTTTCCTAAATGAGCCAAAACAAAGTAAAACATACAAATTAGTAATATTAATAATTATTGTATAACTTACTATTATTAAATTTCGCAAAGAAAATGAAAAATAAATTTAAATAATTGAACCTGTTAATTAAAATAGCTACTGTTTAGCTAATCTTCCTTGTGAAATGAGGTCTTCCTTTCAATAAATTTCTCTGTGAAACTGTACTTCGTATCACGTTTGATCTCTCTACATATATTTCATATTTCGAAAGAGACAATCGTTCAATAATGATTTACTTTGGAATCAAAAGCTAACGAACAATGTTTAAAATTGGGGCAAATTAAGCTCGTCTTAAACATTGATTATCCAATGGAAACTGACGCCCCACAAAATCAAGCTCAATGGAGGAGAAAATCCAAAGGTTGAAGAAAAGCAGATGACGAGCTGGATGGCAAATCGGAACGACGTCATCGACTTTTAATAATCTCGATGAAGTTAATTGGGTTTCTTTCGATGTTTCGTTATTAATTTGTTTCAACATTGTGTGCACTTATTGACACAATTTTCTGGTTACATAAAATAAAGCTTTTAATTATTCTGTGAATAATTTCATTTTGAAGTTTTAGTCTAATCACACATCGGTTGATATGGCAAAACATATTGAAACGCTGGCAAATAATGAGAAAAAGACTCGAAAAGCAACGTCATTGAAGATGTTAGATGAAATGTTTCAAAAATTTAGTGAAAGACCCAGGATTTCTACCCCAGGTTTTTCAAAAAAGTTTTATAATTGCGACTTAACATATTTCATGACGAGTTTTTTAGTGGCCGAAAATTCTAAATGAAAGGGATTTTTCGCGGCTTATTCCAAAAATTATTTCATTTATACTGCAGAACGCCGCTGATTCAATGAACTTTTGCTGGAAGCATATGCAGATGATACAGTAATTTCCGAACCTCATGCAAACCCAACGACACTATCAAAAAATTTTTAAAAAATCAGACAAATTTTAATCAAAAAAAATACTAAAGTATAAAAAATTCTGCTTCTCTTGTACAGCTTTGCAGTTAAGATTTATCAGTTTTCATTGCTTCAAATAAATTGCGTACAAACCAGCTACTTTTTCTAAAAATGTTGTTCTAATATGATCGCTATCTTATTTCCTGCTTTAATATTCCTGGATCAATTAGCCGGTATTTATCGCTTGAAAGTTTGGGCATCCAGTTTCACTGGACCCGACGAAAAAAAACCAAGTTTGTCGACCATTTCCCCAAAGAAAACAAGGACGGAGCTGCGTGAGGGAATCCTCAAGGGAGCGGAAAAGGCGAGGCAGGGAATGAGGAGATCGTGGACAAATTGCTGCATCCGGAAAATCGGAAAAGCGAACTCTATTTCCACCAGGGTTTTCTTATTTATTTGCTACGACAAGGAAATTACAGAATTTGGCTTAATTACATTTACATACAACAGACAGAACGGCTGTAGAAAATACGTTTGAACATCATGGTTCCATTATTATATTTTCTTCTGACAAAACTTTGAAATAATCTTTACTGAGGAAAAAATTAACATTGAAGCTGAAAAAATCAATGTACCGAAAGAGGAAGAACAACTTCTTAGCCGAAGCCAGTTATTTTTCGGAATATTTCTGGCTTCCAATTAGATACTTAAAAAAATGTCTTGATGTAGAAAAGTCTAAAAAATATCACAGTTAAAGTAATAGTTTTAGTGGAAGATAAGCAATAAGTGAAAAGTGGTACGCAATGTTGAATATATATATTTTACAAGCACAAAAAGTGTGCAAATTTAGTTAGTAGAACCAAACTGAACTAAACACGACGCATTTAATGAGAAGATCTGCACTTAAAAATACGAATAAAAGAAATATGCAAAATATTTATGAAATTGCAATTGTTAATACACTAAAGTTACAAGGTGAAACTTAATTAAAACCAGCGGCGAAAACTTCCTCGACTCAACTTCCTTGATGCCAATCCAGGAGTTGAGATGGACTCCTGTCTGAAGGCGATGAGGACAATCACTCTCCCGGTCTTATTTCCGTCGGGAAGATATTACCTTCTGGCCTGAATTAAAAATGCATGCACTTGATGTGTTTTTTTCCTTATTTTATAAACCAAAGGGACTGTTACCTCCCTTTCTGCTGCAGGTGTTTATTTGTTACCTTAAACTGTTCAAGAAAATATTACCAGAGCAACTAGGAAATCATAGAAATTGACAAAAAAATTAAAGAGACTTGTAGATGGGCTATTATTTGAATCTTTTCAGTAATTATTTTAATTTTTTCTAGATTTTGTTCAAGCTAAATCAAGGTGATAATAATTTTTATCAATCTCATAAATTGAACTGGGTGTTTAAAGATGATTACCACTAACCGTTCTCCCGCTTTGAAAACGAACTTTTTACACTACAAATTTAATTATACTTTAAAAGGGAATTAGTCGGTTAATGCGGCTCTTCATTGCGTTCTAATCGGATAAGAAGCAATTTGAGACGCTAACTACGTTAATATTCAAAGACCCATTTCATAAACATTGATTATAGGGGTTAATGGCATGGTTAATGGGTTTGATAATAGGCAACTTTTTTTTTATGTCGGAGGTATTATGGAAATGGACACGATCACTTAATGTCCCTTCAAAATTACAAACAATTTTTCGGTGGTTTTATCACTAGTTTCGTCAATAAAACTAGATAATGTGGGGAAATGTGAATCAACTCAAATCGCTCAAAAGTACACGTATTTACGAATATGGTTGAAGTTTGGAAAGTTTAAAATTACATTATCTGTTAAACACCTTTGGAAAGAATTCACAAAAAAAATGATTTGCTTATATAAAAAATTAGTTAATTCTGGGACCTCATTTCAATCGGCATTTTTCAAGCAGATTCTTTTGTTGAAACCGACTAATAATATTTTTATTTGACTTTTTAGCATGGCATGTTTTAAGGCATTTTGTGGATAATTTTTCAGCCGATTATTCACATCCAGAACTGAAATAAAACAATGAACCGTCCGTCCATATCTACAAACTGATCAACAATCAATTATTAAGTTTGATTGTCTAAAAAGTCTGCATCAAACTGCACAGGAGAAAATGCAGTTTTGGGAGCTAAAAATTATTCACAGTTTTTTTACGTAAACACTGGAAACTTACTCAAATTGCTTAAAAAATCGATCAAGATCAAATATTCCAACTAACTGAATAAAATCACAGCAAAAATAAATTAAATGAATTGAATTAATTGAAAAGTTTTCAATCGCATGTTGGCATCCGAATACAAATTCAACCAGAAAATGAATGAAATAGTAAATGAAGTGTAGCAGCACTAGCACAAATTTCTTTAATTTACCAAAAACCATTAATTTACAAAAAAATGAATTATAAAAATGTGAGGGTAAAGATTCCAAACAAATGAAAATATAATGGTAGGAAAGTGAATAAATCAAAAAAATAATAATTAGGTTGCAGAAAGCGAATATGAAATTTGTCGACCTGAAATGCTGTTTTAACAAACGAAGAGTATTTAGTAGGAATATGTAGACACTTTTTTAGGCAGACAAATGCAGCTTATATTATTCTTATATGAACCAACAGGAATCTTGTAAACATTCAGATTCAGAAGCTAAATAATAGATACATTATCAAATGAACATATTCACACAGTTTTTATAAATAGTTTTTCTTCACTTCTTCAGCTGCTTCACAAACAACAGAAAAATATAATAGGAAAACAAACAAGTCGACAACAACAACAAAGTCGATTGAGGACAACATTAACAAAAACTTGAAACAGAAACAAACAGAAAAAAACAAGAACTAGAAAAGTAGCATTTAACAGCGCTAAAAGATTTTTTGGTTTCAAAATCGTCGTTTCAAATATTTATCAACATTCTCATCTGAAAACTTACCATGAATCTGTACATAAGTAATTTTGTCCAAAAATAGATATAGACTTCAACCGAAAAAGATATTATGGCAAACTATGTTTTGCTGTTCCTTCTAAATTGTTTGAGCGCGGTAAAAAAAGTTTGTGTTTTAGAACACTTATTTGATGAACAATCGCATTACTTGTGTCACGTTCAAAAATAGGAGATTGGTGATTAAAAGTGCAGTTGTTAACTCAGAAACTTACTCATAAATCATTGTGCAATTTTTTAGTCTTGAGACTTCAGTTTTCCATTTCTTTGCTTAAATTCAAACGCTTTGATTAATGCTTTTAAATATATAAAAAGAACGCAGATAATGCAACCAAGGTAAAACTGTCGACAACGAAATGGTGCTTTAAAGTATTTACTTTAGGTATTCAATTGAGTTCATTTTCATATCTAATTAACACTTAATTTCCTCAGGAGTAAGCTTGGTGTATTCAATGGAAGCCTTCCACAGCTGTTCGCAGAAATAATCAGTTAGTTGGAAAGGTGGATGAACAACCATTCCCTCGTAAAATGATCGACCATTTATTAGTTTCACTTCTTCGGAGTGTGCCAGGTGAATTAATGTTTGAGCTCCTTCTTCTGGGGTCTAAAAGTAGATAAAAATTAAATATTTAGCAGGCAAATACAATAAAAATGCGTCTTTATTCGCGACTGTTCCAATACTGTGAAATATATTCTCGTTATTAACGTGTAATCGGTGGGTGTTTTGAGAATAATAAGTACTTTTCTTGTGCGTGTTTTATTTAAGTTGACTTACTTTTCCAAAGAGACAGACAAGGCAATACAAACTCGATACAAAATACGAAAGTCCTATCGCTTGTCGTACTACTGGAGCATAAATTGAAGTTCTCACGCCATTGGGATGACAAACATTCACGATCACTTCCGTTCCTAAAAACATAATTTATTATAGATATGCTAAAAAAGCTTGAAAGGTGAATTCAGAAATATCTTAGAAACAGTGAGATTAGTAGCGAGTACCTTGGAGTTTTGAGGCGAGCGTCTTAGTTAAGCCTGCCAGACATAATTTGGACGCACTGTATGTTCCGCAGTTAAACGTCCTCCACCCTTTCCTCTCTTCGAAATAATCAGGACTAGGATTTAGTTCCTTTACAGTCAAGTCGGAAACGTATGCTAGTACGGAGCTTGTTATGGCTATTCTACTTGGTGCCGATTTTTTCAACAAATCTAAAAAGGCAGAAATTTGCATGCTTTTGGCATTAAATTGCCGTTATCAACTTGAAAAGTTTGCCTGCAATTTCCCAAATTAAATTCAGGTTGTAATTTTATCACGCCAACCCAAACTAGTTCAAATTAGGTTGCTTCCGATACTTACCCAACAGCAAATGAATCATTAAGAAATGACTGTAGTAATTAATTTGCATAGTTTTTTCTACCCCATCACCAGTCATTATCCGCATTTTGTGTTCACCGATACCTGCATTACAAACCAATATATCGAGCCTGGGCTCTGTATCGAGAATTTTTTTCGCAAATTCCCTAACGGATCTAAAAGATGCCAGATCAACTTCTACACCTGTAATTTGAAAAATGTGCTTTAGAATATGAAGACAAATAATTCAAGACGTTCTTCATATTCTCACCAATGATATTTTGATTTTTCGAAACATTTTTCAATTCATCCACTGCTTTAGTTAAGTTGGAAATATCAGCTATAATCACCCGACATCCTTTGGAAGCTAGAGCTAGTGCGGTCTGGAAACCAATACCTGAAAATTTCAAATCCACTAAACTATTGGACTGGAAATTTATACGTATAAATGCATGGAAGAATGTCTATACTTAGAAAATGTTAAAGGTTGTAATGTAAGAAAACACTCAAAAGCTGCTAAATAGAAAAGTTCACTAAAACACTTAGGTCAGCAGCTATGAGTATATCGAGAATACACCAACCCTTCCAAGGGAAAGAAGTAAAAAATAAATTATAAGGTGTATAACATTTCCCATTGACGTACACCGATTTCTTACGTTTCAGTAAAATGTTGCTATAATTATGTTGAATTTCTGTTATTCCATTATATTAATCCTTATATTTTTGGTTGCTCAACACTGACTTTAATTGCAGCCTGTATTCAAAAAGCTGCTTAAAGAATATTTCGGCTTAAATTTTATTGTTTCCTTTTGGTTTTTGCTTTTGCTGGCACAAATTTTTAAACTTTAGAAACCCCTGTAACCTTTACTTGAACCAAAATTTGTCGTCTAATTAAACAAGCTGATAACAGGACATTTTTATCAATGGAATTTATAGAAAAATTTGAAAAGAACGCTCTGGACACAGCCGTGAGGAAACCTAAGTGCTGGTTCCGCTATGTGGATGACACTTTTGTTGTTTGGGGCCATGGTCTGACTGAACTGGAAGACTTCCTGAGGCACCTCAACTCAATAAACCCTAAAATTCAATTCACTATGGAAGTGGAGAAGGATGGGCGACTGCCTTTTTTGGATGTCTTGGTGACCAGAAAAGCCAACGGAAAGCTGGCCCACACGGTGTACAGGAAACCGACACACACCGACCGGTACCTGCACAGTGGTTCAAACCATCACCCCAGTCAAAAGAGGGGAGTCATAAAAACTCTCACCAAAAGAGCCAGAAGAATCTGCGAACCAGACGAGTTAGAGGGAGAATTAAAACACCTGGAAAGGGCCTTTGGTTGGAATGGATACAGTAAGAAAGATTT